CTCTCTCTCTCTCTCTCTCTCTCTCTCTCTCTCTCTCTCTCTCTCTCTCTCTCTCTCTCTCTCTCTCTCTCTCTCTCTCTCTCTCTCTCTCTCTCTCTCTCTCTCTCTCTCTCTCTCTCTCTCTCTCTCTCGCCAAACTCGATCTCTGCCACGTCCGCGCGAATTAAAAGCCCATGAATATGATAAGAATGTAAATTTCACCGATGTTTGTTCAAGGTTCGTGAAGCAATCTGCATAGGCGAGCAACGTAGAAAATCCACTATACGTTTAGTTATGTTCTTTTATGCATATAACTATAGGGAGTTAATTACGAACCGGAACTTTCGACATTCCAGAATGACGAAGCTTCGACCCTTGTTACGCTGAAACGGGTTTAACGAGTAGCTGAAGTTTATCAATGCCGTCCTGAGTTAATTTCGAATCAAGAAATTTGGAAAATTGATGGTGGTGGAACAAATAGTGGACAGAAAGAAAGATCTTTCTTTTTATATTTTTGTAAATTGTATTTGAGTATTTAAACTGTTATTGATTATTGTTCCATCTTCATCTTGTATGAATTTACTAAATTTTATCATGAGCATTGAGTTTTTTTATTATACAAAAAGAATCACTTAAATCGCATGAAAACTGCACAAAAAAAATTTTTTACAAATTAAAAGATCTTAAAAAAAGATCTTTTTTTTTCGATCAAGTGATCAACGTGAGTTCCACGTGCGGATTTTTTTCTAATAGCAATGCGTTCCAGGAGAAAGAAAGCGACCCTTCCGTTTCGAAAACGTTCGATTAATCCACGGGATTTGCTGGCCAACCTGTGTGCACCGTTCAATTATCGAGGGGCTCTTCCGCCTCTCTTACTCCGCGTTAACTGAGTTGTTGCCTCGATAATTCGTACATCGGAGTATCGGCCGTATCGCTGGGGGTTCACCGCATTAATTTGCGGCTCGGCGCGGGAATTTCTGTTAACTCTATAATCCGAAACTTACAGCCTCTTCATCGAATGCTTGGGCGACAGCTCAATTTCACAACCTCGTGAAATCGAGATTGAAAAAGCATGGGTCCGCGCTACCTTTTAAATGCCCGCAGGGGAGTATTCGGTTATTACGCCATTTATTTCGTATGTGTAGTTCAATATTTTCATGGTGATATCTTTGATCGTAGGATTTTTCAATTTTTTTTTCCTTTGTGTTTGATAATCGATTGTTCAGATATATATATTGTTTATCGAAAAAGATATATTAATAATGACACATGGAAGAAAAATTTTATTGAATTTTAATTGTCAAACTAATTATATATTAACACGAATTGAAACAGAAATGAAAATTGTTGTATATTAAAAGATATATTTCCTGTTACAAATTATGGTTTGCTTTTATATTTAGACAATTTTCTGTTAAATATTATATTAAATTTCGAAATTTAAAAAAAAATTTTTTTATAAGACAGTGTTAAAAAAATGGTAAGTTACGATATTACTAAAGAATGAAAAAAACATCACTATCTTTGATATTCTATTTATATCAAAATCCGAATACAAGTAATAAATAATATTCATCCATGATTTAAATATTAAATTATTAAATAATATTCTCAAACCTTCTTAATAGCTTCTTATAGAACTATATTTCAGTTTTTTATATATTTCTTCTTAAATTTTCCCCAACCCCAGTTCTAACATATATTATCATCGTGACACCAAGAGAATATTTTACCTTAAATCGCCATTTTCATGAAATCTTTTGGCTCCAACTTTCATCGTGTAATCACGTACGTCATCATGGCATTCACTAGGATCCACGTTATTATACGATCAAGAGTTTGGCGAGAAAGAATTTCGCACAACAAAGAGAGAAACGGAGACAAGAAGAGCTTGGCAGAAAGTTGGCCAGATTTTGTGCAAAAGCCAATCGATAAGCGGAAATCCGGAAACGTTGGCTGCTTGTTATCATCCAGGCAGAGGATAAATCCTTGATTTACAATCGTTCAAAGTTTATTATTTTAACATTGTCTCGCGAAACGATCGATTCTACACGTTTTAATTCGCGTGTACCGACTCATTACGCGTTATCAAGAATTCATGTCGTTATGTGTTCTTCGTATTTTAGGATTTGTATATCGAGGTTTATTATCAGTCGGCCTACGTGCATACCTCTCTGGACTGAATCTGTTAATATCGAGGCAAATATTGATTTGCAAATATGGGAAGTTGAATAAGTATTTAAACACAGAGTTTGGTACTTTTTTCGAGTGCATAATCGAAAGAGAGAGAAAAAGAGAGAAAACGATTGAAAATCTGAATAGCTTCGTTTCGAAATATTGTTCTTAATTTACCGTGTGATGTATCTCTGAACGAGATTCAAAGGCAAATATTTAGAATCTCTGTCTGTATATGGTGAAAGTTTGAAATTGGAAATGTTTAAAATATTGGACAAATTTATATTTCGAAATTGAAACGAGACAATTTATTTTATAAGTTAATTTGAAAATTATTTCACTATTCTCAAAAATTTATTATATTTCTATACACGCGTTCTTTATTCGCAATTTTAATTAATAAAATTCGTTACAATTTTTGCAATTATTAAAACTATTACGATTTTTCGTTACGTTAATTTTTTTTTAAGAGATTTGATCAGTTATTCATATTAAATTTTATTCTAATGTTTATTGTTATAAAGAAAATTTAAAAGAAGATTTAGATGAGATATTTCTTATCATTTCTTATATAATCATTTATATAGTACATTTAAATACACATTATAGGTCGCTAGACGAGACAAGCAGTAAAGAAGCTTGTAAGCTTGTAAGCTTCTTTTAGTAGGCTTTTGCGGCGAGATACGCGCTAGCAAAGCAGTAAACTTCCATCAGGTCACAAGCACAGATACAAATACAAAAGTTATGCACCACTTACCCGTGTAAGGTCGGCAATAGTTGCGATTTACTTTGCTGTAGATCGTCGGCAGGGATGTCTCAGCTCCTGGCTCGACGTACGCCTTGTTCTTACTATCCTTTGGGTCGCTGTATTGTTCCACAACCTCGACTTCCGCCTGAAAACAGAGCAGAAGATCGTTTCCTTCCGTCACAATTCCTCAAGAATCCCATAATGTCGATTGTTATACTTTCTCCCATATTTATAAAAATATTATACTTTCTCTAAAAATGTTATACTTTCTCTAATTCTATCTATAATTTTTCAACATCTCTTAGAATTTTCGAATTCCAGCAATGAAGAAGAATAAAAATCTTCATAAAATATTTGGAATCCTTTAGAATCCATTGAATTATAAAAGGAAATAGAGAGTTTTCCAACTCTTTTAAATTTCCAAAAACTTGATAGAAACATATTAATCTAAACATTTTAATCTAAATAAACTTTATGTTTATGAGTAAAAAATCGTCGAGTATGTACATGAAATGGATTCATTATAACGTGTAGAAGCAGTTTAAAAAACTTCTCCTTTTTTTTTTAAACATTAATTAAATTGTCTTTTTTAGACAATAACAAAAATAGAGATAAGGGTCAGTCTCTTGAGAGTCATTTTATTAAGCGCGGAGATTAGACACAATATTCTTGGAGCAAAACAGAAAACGAAACCGGGCACACGGTTGTTCCCTCTCGAAATAATGACCGTTTAAGAGGAGGAGAAGTTAAAAATGTTTATTCTACAACTCGGTCGGCCAACGCATTACCGCAATTGGCCGTGCTCAGAGCATGGAATTGCGTTGGACTAACGTGTCGCGTGCTTAGTCGAAGAAACTCGTGCAATAACCCCCGTTGATGGTATCCCCAAAGGGTCGAAGCTGGACGTTGTTAGCCAGCCAAGCTTTTGCTAGCTCGATGCCAAATTGGTATTGTTACCAACCAAATAATTTGTGCCGCCTAATTTGATGTTGTTTTCCACTGGTATGTAAGAATCTTATTTCTCGAACGAATTCCTTCCTTTTGATTATAGTTTCTTATTTATTTTTTTCATGGTTGTTTGCGAAAATATACGTTTAATTTTTCGTTTGTTAATTTTCTTTTATTTTAAGTGTTAATTATTTTTGCTTTTGTGTGTTATGTTATCTCAATTATTTGGAGAAAAATATTACATTATTATACAGTATCTATTTGTTATATTTGTAAAAATATTAAGTGAAATGATAAGTGTTTAAATTCAAATGAGATAAAAGTTATTTAGAAAAATACATTCTAAAAAAATAAATGGAACATTGATAAACATTATAATATTATATTTATATAATATAATAATGTAAATATTCATAATATTTAAATAATTATAGGGTAAAAATAGGGTAAAAATAAAGAAATGATATATTTTTTAATTTTTTAATAATAATATGCTTTTTCCGACAAATTTGACAATTTCATTAAAAACCAGAAACAAATACTACTTTAAATTACACAGAAAACACGAATCACCAAAAAAATTGATATACACGCAATTATCAATATACACAAAGGTAAACAACCTCATTCTACGTCAAATCCATTCCCTCATTTCTCGAATCTTAAAGAAAGAAAAAAAAAATCCCATCCATCCACGAATCCTCCATTCATCTTGACCCTATCACTCTCATTTCCTCGATCTCGAGCAACGTCCACGTTATTAAACAGGTGCGTGCACAATGGGGCGTGTTTCGATCGATCCTCCACCATCCAAAAGAAAACCTTCAACAATTCATGAAGGAGAGTTCGCCAACTTTCGATTTTAATGATAATAACGATAATAGAAGCAATAACGATGGCCTCTGGCTTCCCTTCCCCTCCGCGCGACAGAGAAAGAGAAGAAGAAGAAGAAAGATATACGAAAGAGAGGAAAGAAATATTCCGAAAGGAAGGCGTCTGATCAATGGCGGCGGAAACTTCTCCCTTCCTCCTCGCACTTCCGCCACGAGCTTGTATCACGGATCGAGCTCGAAGAGAGGAAGACAGACAAATTGAAATGACGAAGGCTGTTGCAAGGCGTGCGAGAAGAAGACGGGCAAGACAAGTAGCCTTAAATTGAAAGAGGCCAAAATTGGAATTCTCCTGCCAAAGTTGAGCGTCGTGGCCCCCGGGGGTTGTTTCGAAACCGATTGCCTTCTGGCTCTATCTCCCCCCCTCCCCCTCCCCTCCACCTTCTTTCTTTGGTTGGTGCTGGTTTCGTCGTTGGAACAGATAAATTCGTGGATGTTTATACGGAAATTACGAGGGTAACTTCCGCAGGCGAAAGAAGTTGGGAATTTGTCGGCGTGGCAAGCGAACCGATCGACTGTTGAAAATTCGATCATCTTGCCGATTGATTCGACCTTAAGCTTGAATATGAGACACGTACCTTGGAGATGACTATGTTGAATTTGAAGGAGGAGTGGAATTGGAACATATAAACTTGTTTTTTGAAGATTTATGATATGAAAGAAAGTTGACAAGTTGTGAATTGGAATAATTACATCGAGATAGCAGCACGGTTTTTACGGTTTATATATCTTTTTAATAAAATTGAAAAGTTTAAGTAAATATTATGCTATTTTAAATTCATTTTAATAAAGATAATAGTGCATTACCGTGGACATAATATGTTCATATATTACATATACTACTCGTGTTCCTGATGCATCAAGAATCGATTTTGTTAGCTGATATGTCAGCATGTAAGTGGAAAAAGACAGATTGAGGAGAACGATATGGAACAGTTTGAAATGTGTTTGAGCAATATGATCGATGAACCGAATCTGGTTGCCTGACGTATCTAGGTATGCATGATATTTCGTGGTTGAATGAAAATTAGAATTCTATAAGATTTAGAGTGCATACATAAGTGATATACATAAATTGATGAAGAAGAAATTCTAGAAAAAAAAATTTCCTTAAAATATTATTTTTAAAGTTAAATCTTTGATCTAAAATTAATGCAAAATATGTCTGTAACTTTTAATTACACAAGAATTTCCTATTGTCCATAGTTTAAATTCACTCCTTAAATCGTATCTATGTTTGAACGAACTTTGTATAGAATTTTCAATTTGAAAATGAAGTTCAAATAAGAGCAATTCAGTGAGGAATAACGAAGCTTCCTTTTTTTCTGCAATTTTGTATTTAACTAGAGAATACTTAAGCAACGATAAAATAAAGCGAGCATTATAAAAATCGTTTTAATTTTATATTACTACGTAATTAACACAATTTCCTAGAAGATAAAGAGACGATAAGATGCTCGATTATCGGGCTTGTGATGAATATCGAAATTTGCAGATTATGAAGCGAACGATTATGCGAATCAAGATTGATGAGCGGACTTTAATCAACGTATTATTACAGCAGAAACTTTCAGAGTTCAATAAGAGATAACACAATAAAGCGAATAAATCATATAAAGGGAACAAATTTATTTTATTTACAGGGAATAAAAAATTTTAAAGAAAGTAAATATACGTTATTTAAAATATACAAGTAATTTGAATAAATTAATATGACATAATATAATGAAAATAAATTATAAATTTGAAGAAATATAAATAAATATAAATAAATTTGTATCATTGTTATTTTTAATTAATAATGTTATTAAAAATGAAAATAACAAATAATATGAACAGATAAATTTATTTGAAGATAAAAATGTTTGCAAAGAAATTATAAACTGTTTGAGAAATAAATTGATTTGTTGTATTAAATAATTTATTGTATTATTCCAAAATGGAATATAAAAATACAGAATATAAAATAATAATCTTCTATAAAAATAACAAAAACAAATTTTTCACGTGAGATTAAGAATTGTGAAATTCAAAAATCAATGGAACATTTAACACAGAAAAATAACACAACAGATAAATTATGTTGATTATGAACGATCATTGAACATCAAAAGTAAAATCAAATAAAAACAAAAATGTTAAAACAACACGTCTTTAAAATATATTAATATCTTAACAATATTATCTATGACAGATTAAATAAAATAAATTTGTAAAATTTGTTAAGTTAATTACAACAGGCCCAATTTTGTTATGACGTGTGCACGTTAAATCCCTTCGAATTTTAAACATCATTATCACAGACAGCATTAGACCACAGTTAGCACGAATAACTACGTTAACAGTCCGCCAATAATCCCATCGGTTTATCGGACTTTAATCCGATTATACGATTATATACGTCGTATTATAATTGACCGCGATTATTATCCAGCCCATAATCTCGCTATCGTGCGTGTGATTCTCGACATGTACGTATTATTTTGCATTACTATATATGCACGAAATCAACGAAATCCGCTCAATGGATCTTTCAACGTGATAATTAAATTCACAAAGTGAAGAATTAAAGCTAGAAACTAAATAAAAATAAATGGCCTTTCTTAAAAAAAATTCGATTATTTCATTCGAGCTGAATAAGAAACAAGGGGTCCACAACCTTGAGAAGTTTCGTGATCTTGCATAATATCGCGTGAATTTCGCTGTCGAAGGAGTTTAGCCTGCAAAGATTAACGCTTTGGAAACATATCCGATAATCTCTTTAAAATACCTCTATCGAGATATTCAGTAATATCGAGAATCTATCTTTATGGTAGAAACGAAAGGAGAGAGAGAGATTTCTTTTATTTCAATTTAAAATAAAAATATTTGAACAAGAAATTCGAGAAAGGAATTATTCTAAATTGATGTCTTAATTGACTTATAATAGTTACGAATAAAAAAATAAAAATTATTGTAGTGAAATATCAAAATTATGTTGTAATAATTAAATGTGAACTTACGTTTTAAATTAAACGTACAAAGGATTGTGAGAATTTAATTTATCTTCTTAATAAATATAATAAAAATAAAATAAATTCTCTATTAATAACAGTGTATCATTATATATCTCGTATATATTTAAAAAATATTTCAACAAAAATATATATATCAATTAAAGCAGTTTGAAGATCCAATCCAGAATCTACGAGGGTAAACTGCCATAAATAACAGTACCAATAACGAGAGGCGAGGACGACGATGGTGTTTATTACCTTGGGAAAGAATCTATGGTATAATAGATCCTTCCTATAACGTTTAATAGTATTTCATACAAGATATTGTTAAATTCTCAAAAAGTTAAAAATTCTCTTAGATTTAAATTCATTAGATTTATATAAAAATGAAACAAAAATTTAATTACATTAAGAAAAAAAAGGAATGACCATCAAATGAAATAAAAAGCTTTTTCTCTTTCAACATCAATAAATATAAAAAATCACACAAGATTTTGTCTTCTCAATTCAGAAGCATCAACTTCTCGATCGATTTACCAAAACTACCCTTCATCCACCAATTAAATATCCTCCGAAGCTAGAGTACTTAGGAAACAATAAATCCCCTTTTCACTTTCACGGTAAATAAACATAGCATAAAAATAAACCAATAATTACAGAATCTAAAAAAGAAAAAGAATAATCGCCAAATAAAAATTGATTCTCTCTTTCTCTTACACATCAAGAACATTGATCGTTACATCACCAAACAAACTACCCTTCATCAAATTTGTATTGCATATAAATAAATGTTAGTATTAAAAAAAGCAAGAATTACACTTAAAAAAAAAATAAATAATCAAATAAAAAAAGATTCCTTTCTCTCTCTCTTTCTCTCAAGCAATAAATATGAAAAGAATCACGTAAAATTTCTCTCTTCTCAAATCCAAAGCATCGATCGTCGCAAGATCACTCTTCATCCACCGGTTAAACATTCTGTGAAACCTCTGAAGATAGAGTGTTTAGGAAACCATAAATCCCCGTTTCACTTTCACCACCACGCGACCGCGAAATTTCCATCGCTAGGAAACAAGGATCCGTCGCCTCGAACTTTCCTCGCGCGGCAGGGCTCTTTGTTAAAGTGATAAATGCGACCTACAGCCCGACCTCACGCATAAAATAAAGCGCTAAAGTATTAAGTAGGGCTTACGAGAGGAGCGGGAGAGTCGTAACGATTCACCCTCTTGAATCAAGTGGCACCCGGTTTCCTCTCTTTGTCGCCCTCCACCACCCTCCACGAACCACCCCCCTTTGACACCACCGTTGCGACGACGAGCACTTTCGTTTCGAGGGACGCCCACCGTGGTGACACAACGAGGCGAAGGAAAACTTTTCTTCTTCTCGTAGCGACCAGGTGTCCCGACCTCTTTGTCTCCTTTTCGTTTTCGATCTTCCTCTTCTTTACGACTCTTCTTCTTTAATCGCGGCAGTAACTTGCGAATGATGTTCGCAATTTGTTGATGACAAGGTGCAAATGAATCGTGAACATCGTTTGGTGGAATTCTAATTTTTGGTTTTTATTTCATTTTATATCGTTATTACATCACGTGGTTTTTGTTTTGTGTATTGATGATTAAATAGTAAAAATTATATGATAATTTTTTTGGAATATTGTTCGAGAAAGAGCATAATTTAATTTTGTTAAGGATTTTTATCGCGCTCTTTTGGAACGACAGTTTTGTATTCTCATTAATTGTAAAACAAAAATTCATTTGGAATTCGTTCTTAATTATAAACAACTCACTTGATCAATGTAACAAAATTCACCAAATAATATTAAACTCAAAATACATTCTTAAATTCTATGTAATCAAAAAAAGAAAAAAAGGAATACCAACTCTTTCAAATTAATCGGTCAATTACATCGCAAAACTGTTTCCACTCCACATACTCAAATTCTATTTGATCAGAAAATATTCCAAGGACTTCTGCATCAACAATTTTACTCGCACCGGATCCAACATTCAACGTGGAAACCTGGTTTCCGCGACAAAGCGAGGCCAGATTCCGTGTCACGTGCAGGATGGTGTCGGTAAACGCGGTAAATGCGACGTCCTTTCGAGGACATCAGGGAGCACAGTCAAGGTAAGCGGTATTTCGACTGCAGAGAAACATTTAGGCGTTCCGCTCCGGGCAAACCTGAGCACCAGAAGCTGAGTGGTGGAACAATTATAAGCACCGCCGGAAGTCACCTCCATCTCTCTTTTCACCCTGCTCGCGCGATTCCCTTCGTCCTTCCGTTCGTTCGTTCGACCTTCTTCCACCCCTTTCCACGCTGCCAGTCCACCCTCCATCGTGCCCAGCGGGTATTTTGTCACCATCGTAATTATATTTCTCCCTTCAACCGATTCTTCGACCGCCGGCGACGAGAAAATATCAATATTGTAGGACGTATATGGATCGATGCTGAAGACGGTGATTCGAATCGTGATGATTCGAGCGGAGTGGATTTTGATTAGGAGTTGAATTAATTTAAATAATCGATTATTAAAAAATTTCAGATTCTTTTTTTTTTTTTATCATGTTGTATCTTTAAAATTGACGAATCTATATCAACGAGATTTGAAGAATTATGTTTTCTAAAGATTCTTGTTTGTCGATACAACTGTACGTATTAATTCTGTGCTCAAAGGGAGGAGTCGTGCTTGAGTGATGAAGTGAAAGATCGATTTGATCGAAATTTTAAACAATTGATTTTGTTACTTTGTTTAGAAAGATATTTAAATCATGATCAAAGCCATTATTAAATATTATTGGTATGAAAGAATCAAATATAAAATTAATGATATACGAGGCGGTAAATAATATTTCGTTGCTCGAAATCCTTGTGTATATTTTTTTATTTAATAAAAATATATCTCGTATATCTTTCCGATTTGGAACGAGCGTACAAATATTGATATCCTTTATCGATGAAAAACAAGCGACGATAAACGAAATGTGATACCGGTGATACGATTAACGAACAATGCACGTTTATTGAATCGAGAGAATCCGAATAAAATTTGATTGAATACCAATACATGGTTGTGTAGTACGGTATGTGTAGTAAATGATAAAATTTCCATTTTATAATTATATTTTAATTGTATATCGCATTTTGTTTGCAAAACGAAATTTATTCCTCCGCGATCGCGAAATTCTCACGAAAAATATTAATAAGGTGATTTTAATCTCAAATATTTATTTTGAAATGTAATAATACTCACGTTCTCTACGGTAGGACTTGGAAGCGCCCACTGGACCGTAGAAGTTGTAGCCGCAGCACTTGCAGGACGTCTTTTATTAACAAAATCGACTGGTAGACTGTAGTCGTCGCAAAGGGAAACCTGAAAATTATGAATTTCGTCAATGAACTTGATAATAATTTAAAATAGGAGATAAAACAAATCTATTTCATAAACGAACAATGGGAGAAAATAATAATAACCCGATTTGGAATATTTTGATGCTCGCATTAGTTAAAAAAATATATATTCTCGAATCTACTTCAACGAAACACTACAATAGATAATTTACTTGGTTATAATAATCCAACGAATTATTATACCCTATATCTTACAAAGATACAAAGACAATTTCATAATTCAAAAAAATATTTACACGTTCCCGCGAACAACCGCGATCACAGTTATTAACCTTAAAATCAATTAGCCAAGCCATCATATCTAACACGGCACGCAGTCACGCGGTGAACTCCGCCCGGGAATAAAAATATTGCCGGGCCGGTCATTAAGGGGACATTTCCGAATTAATTCGGATAATCGTCGGGACGGGCTTCGCTATGCACGCAGGAAGCCCCTCGTTCGCAACAATTTCCCTCGCTCGCTTCGAGGGAGGGAAAGGGTGAAAAAAAGGAAAAACGAAAAAGAAAAAATTACCGGAGCAGCACGTTGTTAATCCCCCTGCAACGTCCAGAGCAACGCTCAAGGTATATACCACCTTCTCGCTATGCCTCGGTGAAAATCTCGAATGGAAGGGGTGTAAAAAATAACAAGAAAAAAAATCGCAAGAATAAAGACCGGGAGAATCGGGATAGATAACTATATACACGTTATGGGGGGTGGAGGGTTGATGCCATGCCGAGAGCGGCGCGAGAATTTCTGCCACTCGACAAATCGTGCGGGGTAAGCACACGGGAACCCATCCCTCCCTCCCTAACCCGGCCCTAAGTCCCAATCGTCGAGGACCGGACCAGCTCATCAACGATATTTACCGTCTGCCAGGAGAATCGATCTATCGATGGGTCGCTGCTGCACACGGTGCCACCCTCGTCTCTTCCTCCGCTCTCTCTTCGAAACGAAGCCGTGGTGGCCAACGGACCACCGCCTACGTCTGTGCGTGCATATAAATCGAGACAATCGCGGATCCCCCGGGGGCGGCTTATCGCGCTGGAGTTGAGCCGCGGAGGGGTGGACGAAGCGAGCGCCCTCGGGGAGACCGGGCCACCCAACGTGTCGAGGGTTGGAAGGAGACAGGGAGTGACACGGAGGATAGGGACCATGAAGGGTTGGAGCGTGTATCTGGGGGGGGGGGAGGGGGTTGGTCCAGAGCGGAGACCCTACATGCAAATGGTGCGCATTTATCGTGAGCAAAGAGCTGCGTATGAATATGTGAAGTGGGAAATGAAACAAAACGAGAGAAAGAGAGAGAAAGAGAGAAGGAGAGATGTCGGGGGTGGAGTAAGATCGGGTGCTGGGTTGAACGAAAACGGAAATGGACGGGACAGAGGGTGGTATCTGGCGCCGTTTCGGGGGAAGTATGATCGGAAGGGTGAAGAAGACACGAACGGAAAAGTCGAGAGGCGTTTAATGATCGACGATCGTCGATTCGAGCAAGTTGGTAAGGGATTTATTTTCGAGTGTTTTTTTCTTTTTTTTGGTCCGCTTCTCTTTCGCAGATTTTTGCAGATGTTTTTGAGGGAGAATCGAATGCTGGGATAGAGATTTGTAGAGATGTTTCGCGAATTATTATAGCGCGATTTGTTCATCATTTGGAAATGATGAAGATAAATATTTGAAACGGATGAATAGTAATATATTTTTTTATTGCTTTGATATGATGTAAGATTTTGCGAATTTTGTTTGAAATAATATTTTTAATGTACATTATTCTGAAACACGTATTTATATGAAAAAAAGTAATAATTTGATAATTATTTAATCATTTAAAATCTCGTAGAAATATTTCAATTTTCCTAGTTATTAGGTAAATTGATAAAATTTGGATACAAATTAAATATTTTCTCTTATTCTAATTTACTAAATTTTAATCTTTTTCTTTTTTAATCAAAAATTAAATTCTTTTCTTTAAAGAATTACACAATTGTGTTAATTTTCCCCAGAAACACAATGTGCATCATTTCTAAATCGCGAAATTGATGGTAAATGGTATATATACTGTTAAACTTGGTCGGCTTCGGGGTTAAGTATCAACCTCCCTATACGGAACAGAAATACTTCCCTTTCTACGGAGGAAGCCAAATAGACGAACTAGGCCGACTGACCATCATGGTATCATGGTATGGGGATTGGAATCTGGAGAAACCGCCAAATAGCCTGCAGCTAAAGGGTACCGTTTCAAATTATCACTGTTTGGGAAGACGGTGGCGTGGCAAGATACATCGCGCCATCTTTCCTTGCAATATTCTACCAGGGAGAAGTTTACTCTCTCTCCAATGTTTCCGGATTACATTTTCATATTTTACTTTCTCCCTTACCGTTTATTCGAAATACCAATTTAACGTATCTCATCTTTCATCTCGATTTCTCGAATATCGTTTTACAACAATTTGATAAAAATTTAACTTATATATCAATAGATATATAAATATGTATCGCGCAATTATACCATCATTGACATTTAATACGACACTCTTGAAAAAGAGCAACTCTTGCATATCGTTGAATCAAAGAAAAGAAAAAAAAATAAACAAATTACTCGACAACCTACCACGTTTTATGATCCATTCAAAGCCGAACAAAGAAGCAAAAAAGGAGAAAAGGTAAAATCGGCTCCCTCTTCAAAGTTCTGTTCCCTTTGCTGTACGAGCCAATATACGAGTGTTAATTCCGTTCATCGAGAGAAAAAAAAGAAGAAATAGAGAGAGAAGACGCGAGGGTGAAATCGCGATCCCCCTCGAGGGCCTTTTTACGGATCCCTCGCTCAGATTTTCGTCGAAGGAAATACCGTGGTGCTGACTTGCTCGACGTCGCATTCCGCCTAGCCGAGATTAAGCGGGAATATTTAGCAAATGTTTCGTATAAATCAAAGCGGCGCAATATGTTTCGAGTTCGGAGCGAGGCTATGTAAATTCATGGTAATATCGGCTGGCCACCCCGCGGAGAGCGAAGAGTTTCGATTCGAGGAAGGGGAGCGAGGGTGGACCGAGAGTTAAACGAACCGGGAACCGAGAAGGATTCGATAAAGATGTAGGTGGGTATTTATTTTCAATGTTATAAAACGAAAAAAAATATATTCGAAAATGAGGAGATTTTTAATTTGTGAAACGTTCTTCGAATTTCGATTTATTTGTATTACAAAATGTAGAAATTATTCTAGATAGATTGTTTTTTTGAATAAAACTTTCTTTATGAAGTTATTATCTCCTGTTACATTGGAAGATGACTTCTTCTCTTATGGAATAATTTAACAATCGAAACAAAATATTACATTACAATGATACATGCAATTATAATAATTCAGTAACACAGAAGAAGGCAAGAGAAGAAAAAGACACGTTGACAATGATAAAATGGATTGATGGAATAGTTTTTAGAAAGTTTTGGTTAGAAAGAGAGGAACAAAGATAAAAGGAGACGGAGAGAAAGAGCACGGCCTAAAGAGGGTAGCAAGCGCGTATTTCATGAACCCCTAAAGCAGCCCTAAGCATTGCTGCAACCGCCACAATCCCATTCATTCTCTTTATGGGCTCCCAAGTATTCGGGAGCGGGCTTGAATAAATCGGAAATTTGCCCCCGGGAAACGGGCCACCCCCGCAACATTTGCCTACGACTTTCGAACTGGTCACTCGCGTTTACTCCGCCCCTGCTGCACACGAATCGTCGAACGATATGACTTATCGTTCTGCACGTTGTGTATGAGCGGTAATTTTCGCTCGAATTGGTGGTAGTGGATTAGCTGGAACAACTATTTTTTCTTCTCGCACACTACGATCGAGATTATCGCTCTTTGTGCATTATTATTGCTCCGAATTTTTATTTAAATATACCTTTTCATTGAATTATATATTATGAACGAATTTAAAATACTAATTACAATAATTGAGAAGTTGCAGTTCTAAGTAAAGTACATTCATAAGAATCAGAAGATAAGATATCCAAATCAATTTAAGATAATATATATATATATATAT